CAGTCCTTCATCCCTCTCACACCCAAGCCCTTTGCCCAACAAATCCCACCCTCTACAACTCAAAGGCAATTCTTTTCCCCTGCTCCCTCATGTTTACCCCATCCGTCATCAATGTCTTCTCCCTCTCACCTATAGTCCCTTCCATTATTAAGCACTGGAAAGCTGAACGCTGGATTTGGGAGTCTTCCTTAGGACTACCAGCAACAGGGAAAGAGGGGCTAGAGAAGGCATCAGCAGGAGCGCAGGAATGGCAGACTCCTCCCTGCTCAGCCCCACCGCTGCAGCCCCAGCTGTAGTTACGTGGCTTTGATGCCCACTGCCGTATGTCTGGTACCACGCTGAGCATTTCTGTGGGAAAGAAAGAGGTTTGAGCATGCTCAGTGAAGATAAAACCAATGCAGATTTTATTTGGTATAAAGATACACACACATACCAAAATCACTTTTACTGAGCACATGCTATCTGTTTTTTACAAACATTAACATATTTGGCCAAATCAGAATAGAAGGCAGAGGTAAAGACAAAACATGGGGGGCACCCTCTACACAGAGGTCATTTCCCCTACCCGAACTGGAGTTCCTGTCCCAAAGCACTGAAGTGACAAATGATTCAAAGAAACATCTTTAAGGGTATTTGAACACAGGCAAAAGACCACCACATCCTAACCCTGGGTTCAAAAGAACATGCAGTTTTGACTGAAGTTCCCCAAAGAGATTTAAACCTTAAGCCCAAGATGAAAACTTTCAGCTGACATACAGCTGAAGTCTGGCAATTAAAAACAGGACAACAAATTTAGAAGTGCCAGGGAAAGAGCCGATTCCCATTTACCAACACCAAGAAATGGCGCTGCAGGTGCCGTAGGTCAGCAGGATTGCTCAACGCCTCAGTGCTGGAACCACGAACTCCCTGGTACTCAATACCCCGACAAATTGTAGGTACTGAAATGTTAATCAGCTTCCAGCCTGTTGTCCGGAGCCAAGAGTGCCAGAGATACGCCTCAGCCACAAGCAACAGGTCCCTTAGTCATCAAAACCCACCACCTTAACAAGCTTGGACTTAACCTTCATCTCTTTAAACCACAGTCAAGAGAAGGACAATCTGGACCCTGGCCCCCCACTCACACACACATAGCCAGTGAGGTGTTGAAAACTTCTACTAGTGCAAGATTTGCTTTGACAATCGTATTTTTCCCATATCCTTCTCCATGGTGGTAGGTGTCATGTCAAGTTAAATAGGAATGGCAAAATAATATCTAAGGTAGTCCTAGTGCTGCGTGGATCACAGGGTGGTTCTGAGAAATGACATGCACCGTTCTCACTGTCCTTGTACTCCAGATACCATCAGAGACTCTCAGCGGCCACTCTTCTGTGTTCAAGAAAGGAACAGAACGTGCTGTCAGGCTTGTTGGCTTAGTGTTTCAGGAGCTCACGTCTTCACTGAAATGTTGTTTAATTGCATTACCATAATAAACCCAGAAATTCTGCACTGTTTTGTCATCAGGCTTACTGAAACTGGTGATATTGAGAACTTAATGTTGAAACTCAGAAATTTTTCTTCATGCACAAACTGATTCGGGGAGGGGGGCTAAAATAACCCATGCAATACTGAAATTGTTAAATAAATAAATCCACAACCGTTCTAAGACTTCTGTTAGATATTGCAACTGAGGGAGCTAGTAAACTGTTTCTGTTGTATCTGAAGTATGCAAGTACATACCGTGGATATCTACAAGGACTCCGTCAGTAATGTTCTAGGGAGTAAAAGTAAGGCAGGGGCTAAGTATTTCTTGTTCCTGGACTTGCAGTGTTTCCCACAAGTATGTCACTACAGTTGTCTCCCCAAAAGCAACAATTTAAATACAGATATAATGTTGTAAGAGAGCAATTAACAATTCCAGTGTGGAAATATCACAGCCTTTTACGTACAATTACAGTACTCAAGTTTCTACCTCCCTTAAGGCAGACACATGATGACCAGAAGTTAAGTAAAAACAGATGATAGAAATAAGTCTTAAGAGCATTTCTCAGTTTTGTTCCCACTTCGCACTATGACTTTTTAATATATTACAGTTGTTAATTCATTATATGTAATGTAGCATAAAGTAGGTATTTTTCCCAAATCTCAGTCTGAACTAGTACAACTCTGTAGCTCAGTCCTGCTCTCCGATTCTGAGCCTGCCAAGTTCAGCCTGGCTATAAAATGTGTTTATTGTTCCCTTGCTTATCATGCCACCCTCTGCTCTAAAAGATGCAATTATAGTTTGGTTTTCTATCTCATTCAGTAGAACTGGGACTTTACTTCAATGTCTCAGTTGAGCCCAGTAACACTAAAAAAAGCTGGTGACCAAGCCATAAATGTCCAGCTGCTCTCAAAATGCAGTTTAACCATGGGTGTCCTGCTTTCAGCAAGTTCTGCTTACTTCCAAAGACAACTGCCAGTGAAATTCCACACTGGTTGTCCTAATCAGACCTGTTTCTGTCTGTTCAGGTAAGTACCAACACTGAGATCTGACAGTACTTTTTTTTTTTCTTCTTCAAGGTACAAGTTTCAAGGCCAACAAGTATATACTGTAAGCATCCTCAATGATGCTTTCCAACACCATCAAAACGCCTTGAAGAGAAAAATGAGATGCATTTGTTGGTGAGCCTTAGTTGTCCTCCTTAGGCAGGGGAATTTTAGAAAGCCTTCTAGGGACTGAAGCACAGATGTTGCAACATCAGTCATTAAGCAACCAACATCCAGCCTTAGATGCTCTTGCACATCCTGCTCTAAGATCCCACTCGGGGTTTCTTACTCCTTTTTCAGCTTTGGATATTCCCTGTGGATTGTTTTGAAGACTCTTCTAATGAACTCAGGCGTCCTGAATGCAAACCACAAATCGCACTTGCTGTATTTTGTACACTTTGCCCAACAGACCCCTTTTCACAGTACACAAAAAAACTTACAAGAACAGCTTGGTATGAGAAAAAAACTGAATTAATCACTAATAAAGAGCAACTGTGTTTGTTAGTGAACAACTTCTGCTGAGAAAAGTAAGTCTTGATACAGAAAATGCATCTATGATGTCAAACACAGAAACTGCTTCAGAAAATACTAAATAATTTGCAATTAGTGTATTTCTTCCCAGCTATAGGCATCAAGTTAAGCTTGATGGCAACACTTCTTTCTTCAACATGATGAACCAGGGCAAGTGAAACTAAGCGTGGATTTCTAAAAACTTCTTATGAAAGACATTTACCACCTGAAACAGCAAGATGAGATTCCCCGTCACGGTGAAGTGAATGCTTAACAGTTGCACTGTACAAATCTGTGACTGCAACTTGCTAAAACCAAATCAGCAAGATATATGGGATTTTAATCTCCCATCTGACATAAGAAAATAAGTACCGTATCAACTTTTGGCATGCAAGAAAATCTTATCTTCTTCCCAAACCTGTCAGTACAAGCCAGGCTGGGTGTATTCCCAGAGAAGCTTTCCAAAATAGGTTACCCGACACAGGTTATCAAGGCATTGATACAGGTATTGTCCACCTATATAAATACCATTATTAAATACCGGTAGAACACCCAGGAACAAATTTTGCTGTCACAGTGCCTGTGAGAGAATACAGAAACATCCTTTACATAATACGAAAGGTTGTTCCAGCACAAAACGAGGCCCTGTAATTTCTGCTTCAAGCAGAAGCCAAAGGATGTGGAATTGTTTGAAGCATGCTACTGTGAAATGGATAGATCTACTCAAAAACATTTTTATGACTACATTTTTCTGTCAGATAATGAAAGAAACCTGCTTCTTGTGCCAATGCACTCTCAGGTGGCAGGGTCAAGGAAGAAAAAGAGCTAAAATAAACAAAGGTTCATCCTAACTCACTGACATGTTTTACAGCACAATATTCAGAGCACGAAAACCTACAATGCAGTTCAAACATTTCCCCCAAAAGAACGTAACATTTTTGAACTGCCTTTATTTCCAGCACTTTATATAAATATTGCTTTCTTCCTGATCCTGGATTATCCTCCATTTGAAGTTCATGTTCTCAGTTTGTAGTTGAGGACAGCATGTAAACATCCCTATAACCCTGTATACTCTTGTGGGGCTGTTTAAACGCTGCCAGGCTGTAATGGACTCAGAAGCAGTCTCTAAGAAGTTACAATACTGCATCCCTAAATTACAACTGAACCCTCTATCCCCAAAGAGAATAAATAAGGAAAAAAGGTACTCGCAGATACACACACACATGCACACCCTTCTCATACAAGTTGCAGGACAACTACAGGAAAATGTCATTTTAAAACCCCAAATGAAACTTAAGCTTTTCTTTTTTATTTTAAATTCAAGCTTTTATTTGGGAACTTTGTGATTAATTTGTCTTAGCCTCTTAGGAAACATTTGCTTTTGTCCAGGAGTTGCCAGCTGAGAGGATGTTATTGTTCGGAAGGGATGTGACCAGGAGGACCCTGTGCACGGCACAATGTGTCAGCCCGGAAGCCAGGGAAGAAAAGTGATTCTCTCATATGGCTGAGAAAACAAAATGGAAATACTGAGTGTTCGTTCACCTTCCAGTTACAGTCACCCCAACGCGTGTCCCCAAGAAGCATGTTAGTCACCTGTATCTCACATGAGTATCACCACCTAACTATATCAATATATTAAAAAAAAAATAATCCTACTTTAAAAAGAATTACAGATTTCTGTAGAAAAGCAAAGATTTCTGCCACAAACATCTTTGAAACATGGAAGCAGGCGAATGCTGACCGCCTCCACACGCCCGCCGCTCCAAACGATGGACGGAGTGAGACACGGTTCCCCCTCCCTCGGCCGCTACCCCCTACCCAGAGCATCAGCGACCCGTACGGGCAGAGCCCAGCCCCGCAGAGAGCCCGGCGGCCGGCTGGGAGCAGGCGAGCCGAGTCCTCCCCTGCGGCCGGCACCCTCCTGCCTGTCCAGGCCTGCACTGACCTCGGCACAGCGAACTTCACAGAAGCCCCTCGCGCGTGTCTCAGTAGCGGCAGGAGCGAGCCGAGCGTGCTTCGGCGCTCGGGAAAGGCGACGCTCTCGCAGCCACACCGTTCAAGCCCTCCAGTTCCTTGCCGAGCGCCTTCGTTCGGGGGACGTTTTGAGCTGTGAGGCAGTTTTTCTGGAGAACGCCCCGTGCTTTGCACATGGTCGCGGTTTCACCTCGAAAGGGCTCCGAGATCGACGCCTCTCGCCACACCTTCCTCTTCAACACAACCTCCGCCGTGCCCTCTCCACGCGCCCCGGCCCCGGGAGCAAACGCAGCCCCGCTGAAGCCAACGGCGGGGA